TCCAGACCACAGCAGAATCTAGCAAGTAAACATCTGGGTTAATACCTGGGACCTCCAGGACCTACTGTGGGGCCTGGGCTGTGTTTCTTCTGATCAGTCAGTGCCCTCCACTACATTCTCAAACACCACACAAAGCCCCACCCACTGCCCCCCCCGCACACGCATGCATGCACACAAGCAAGCAGAATCACACATACACACTCACACCATACACAAAGCCACATTCTCAAGTGACACAGTCATACTCACATACCAGACACACTCACATTCTCATACCACACACAACAGCCACACAACTAAACACCACACACCTACACACCACACACAACCATACATTATCACACCACACACATACACACTACACACACATTTAGCCACATGCCACAGCCACATAGTTACATATATGTCTACACACATATACCCACACACCACACACAAGCACACACATACCAAGTACACACAAAGATAAACACAGACACAGACACACAAACCACACTCCCCACACTCCACCCCAAAACTAAACACATAAGAGTGCCCAGTACAGGCCTTGATTTGTGCAAACATCAGTAAATGTGTGCTAAGCCTCACAGACTCCTTTAGGTTCCTACAGCCAAGGACAGGGAAAGAGTTGGGGTGAAAAGTACCTCTGATGAGAGTGATAGCATTTCCTCCAGGCCTTGAAGAAATAACGACATTTCAGCAGGGTGGGCTGGTGAACAGAGTGACATGAACAAAGGGATGAGGGAGGGAAGCACAAACTATCACAGGACACTGATGATAGAAAATGAAAGACTGATAATTCCTTCAAGTCTGCAAGTATTTCTGGAAAAAAACACAGAATGAAGAAAGAGGTACTGACTACATTTAGGGCTGGATTACAACTGTGACACATACTAACTTTACTACTCTCTGCAAATTATTCAACCACTCTGAGCTTAAACTCCCTCATCACTAAAATTGTGATACCTACCCACACTACAAGACTTTGTATTAGAAAAAAATGCCTGTAATACTCAGCAGAGTGTGTGACACATGCTGTCAATCAGCAAATAGCAGCTGCTGTTACAACTGTTGAAGACATTATATCCAGGCCCTGTGAAGAACACAAGAAAAAGATCTTTTAAACGATCTCATTAAGAAAAAACTTTTAACTTAAAAATAGCATAAAACTGTATATAACCTTCTAAAATGTGAAATACAGACAGACCCTCAACTCTTTAAGAACCAGAGATTGACAAGCTTTTTCTGTAAAGGGCCAGATAATATTTAGTAAATATTTATGGCCATGGGATATCTGCTGTAACTATTCAATTCTGCCACTGTATCATGAATCATTAAAGCAGACATAGATAAGACATAAAGGAGTAAGTGTGGCTGTGTTCCAGTAAAACTTTATTTAAAACAGGAAGTGAGCTGTAATTTACCAATCCCTGTTAGTGTTCCTTGAAGAATTTAGATAATCAATATGAAAAATAATTGACTTGCTTTACTTCCAAAAACGCAAGTAAACATGAGAAACTATTCCGTGATACTTAGACACTGTTTCCTGACCATCCTTTAAAAAATTTAAGTCACTCCCACACTCCCAGTCCCCCTGCCCCATAGCATATCTTACCTTCTGACATTTTCTTTATGTCAATTATTTATTGTCTGCTTCCCTAAAACATAAGTTCCATGAGAGCTGATGTCTTTGTGTTTTTTTGGGGGGTGTTTTTTTTTTTTTTTCAATTTACCAGTGTAACCAAAACTCCTAGAGTAGTGGCAGCCATACACAGTAGATCCTTCATAAGTATTTGTTGAATGAGCTGAATAAAACACCAGCTCTGTCTTCAGAACCCAGTTCATGGTTACTTGTGTCTATTCTCACCCACTTTTCCTCAGCAATCTCCTGATTCCTGCCTTTCTCCTTTATGCATTCACAGAATCTTGTGCTTGCCTTATAGTGGTTTGCAATTACCTACTTACATGTCTGTTTCTACTAGCAGTTTATAAGCAACTTGAGGAAAGGGACTGGGTCATATTAGTAATCTCCTTCTGCAGCATAAAGCTGGGTGCTCAAATGTCTTTGAATGTATAAGTGACAGAATGTGATCTTAATTTATGCCACCATCCCATCCCCCACCCCCTGCCCTGCTCCCATCTGACCCACGGCTACAGTATCTCTATGCTATGAGCTATTTGGCCTCCATTCCAAAATTGCTATTCTGAGAACCTATAATTTACCAAGCTCCAGCTCTACCCAGGGCTGGATGCTAGGTCAATGTAAGAGCAAAAGGATTTAGGATTATGATTACCACTCACAGTTTGTGTTACAGTGTAGTGACACAGACCATGAACTGCAGAAATTGTCTTACAATGCAGAAGGTTAAGTTCAGGGGACAGGGGCAGGAACTGGGCCTTAGTCACCTTTGTACCCACTCCTCAGAGTCTAACACAGCACTGGCACATTATTAACATTTTTCAAAGCTCATATCAAGTGCTAAGCTGTGAACTAAGCACCATACATGAATCATCTAATTTCACTTCACATCATCCTTATTTTAGAGATGAGAAAGCTGAGGCTCAGAGAAATTAAGTACCTTGACCAAGGGCCCACAGCAAGTAAGTGGCAGAACTGGGGCCTATGCCCATCACTTCAAAGCCAGTGCTTTTAACCCTTATACCAGTACTGAAGGAGAAAAGGAGAGAAGACGGGAAGGAAGGAAATAAATAAAAACAGTACCGCTGAAGTTCACATGACACAGGTGTATCTCCCTGATGAGATCAGGGTTGAGCAGTTTCATGGAAGAGTAGGTATTTGATCTAAGACTTGCAGGATGGGTAAGACTGGGACGCGCAGAGATAGAAAGCCAATTACCTACTGAGACGAGAATGAAGCTGAAGTACAGAGGCACTTTCACATCACACTGCAGAGATTTTGGGGGAAAAGAGGTCTGTTGGGCTTTGTCTTCCTGGGGGCTCAGCTGCACAGGGAGAAGCATAGGTGGAAGGGGCTGAGAAGTGGAGAAGGGGCCAGGTCTAAAGTTAAGAGCCAAGAAGATGGGGCTAGTGATCACAGATGATGACGGTGAAGGGGCTAGGTTAAAGGGAAGGGGCTAAGCCATAGTGCGGTATGGAGGGCCAAAGTTACAGGTCTTTGGGGCCAAGTCAAGGGCTGCGGGGAGGAAGGGGACAGAGGAGTTGTGAAAGACCAAGAGCAAAGTGTTGACGAACAGGGTAATTGTACAGGGAAGCTAGATAACGGGTCAAAGATAGAGGAGGACCAAGGAAGCCAGAGGGTAGCAGGAGCTGGTCAGGGAAGAGGGAGCAAAGACTGCCAGAAGTGTCATAGGGCCAGGGCCTAAGAGGCTGGGTTGTGTGTTGTGGGGCGGGGAGAAGCCAATGGCGGAGGCCCAAGGGGACAAGGGCTGGTTTCAGAGATTGCCGGCGGGCTTGGGGCCGGAGGGGTGGGAGAGAAGGGCTGATCCTAAACGTATGGTCAGTGGCAAGAGTGCCGTATACTCAAACCCAACAGAAGGGCCGGGGAATAGGGTGGGGACAGCCACCTGGCTGCGTCGTCCGGGGACCAGGGCCGAGGGTCGGGGCGGAGGGACCACAAGGCCCCTTGGCTTCCCACTCGGTCCAGGGAGCAAAGCAGCAGCCTCCAACTCCTCGGTGAGAGTGAAATGGCCGTGTACAGAGTTTCCCGCGAAGTCGTGTCCGCCTCCCCCCGCGACCTCGGGCCCAACCCGGACCCACCTCACTCCCGCTGCTCGGTCAGGGACAGCACCGCCTCCGTAGGCAAGGGAAGGCGCTGGGGCCGGAGCCGGAACCCAGGAAGGATCCTCCCTACTACTCCAGGATTGGTTTCTTAAGATAATCCTTTATTTCCATTGGCTACTATAACTGCCACAACGCAAGCGACCTAGCAGGACCGCCAATAAGCTTTGACCTCCGGCGTGGCATGCTGGGAGTTGTAGTCCTAAGGAAGCGCGTAGACTCGGAGAAAACTTGCGAAGTTTAGAATGCAGCTGAAGAGATTGGGTTCCGTCCTAAGGTGGGATTTCTTTCCGTGCTCGCGCGTTCAACCCCGAGTCTCAGGGCCACTCGTCTGGGAAGTTGTAGAATCTGTATAGCTAACCTACACAACCTCCAAGGGGGCACGTACTCAGAGTTCCTTCTTTACTTTGAGTTGGTAACCCTTGACCGTCCTGTAGACATCCAACGAAGCCAAGAGTATGGCACCGCACTCAAGGTTTAATAACTTAAAATCAAAGGAGGGTAGAGCTGGAAGGGAGTTTAAAGATAAAATAACCCATTCTCCTTATCGGAGAAGCGAAGAGTACCCGTCCAAGGAGCAACCTCCAGGTCTCCCAGCGTCCCTGAGTAGGGATTTTCCCGGGTTCTGCATGCATCCCTAATTAAGCCTGACACTTATTCATCAATCCAGACACAACAAGATTACCAAAGTATCCAGGACTATGTCATTTTTTTCAGGTTTTATTTTTTAAAATAATAAAAGGCTAATGGAATACGTAGACTAACTACAGGCTTCTCATAGCTGCACAATGTTTCAGTGCACAGAACAAGGAGCATTGCCTTCAGAGCTAGATAAATCAAGTATAAAACCCGCTCTACCACCTAGCCATTTGGAGTACCAACTTCCTCCCCCATAAAATCCCTGGCAGAATTACTGTAAGGATATTTTATATACATACATATATACTCATGCATGTGTATGTGTGTATACATATACACATACATATATATGTATATATGTTGTATATAGTTGTAAGGTTATATGTACGTATAATACATATATTGAGGTTATTTCTTGATGACATTAACATTCAAATCAGTAGACTGATATGTATATACATATATACATGTATAATACACATACGTATGTATACATATACACATATACACATTAATATATGTGTATATACATGCATACATGTGAATATGTATACGTACATATGTGTATCTGTGCATACATATACACATGCATACATGTTACATATATACATATGCACCTATATAATAGATATGTATATATCCACATACATATATACATGTGTATATGTATGTATGTAAGTATTCTGCCTCCACAAGCTGACAATGTGAGTTAGTTTTAA